TGACCATAGTCGGAGGCAGCTTGTAGAATGCGCATGAACGTGTGTCCGTCAGGTCGGCGTGCGTGCGTCCCGTGTGTGGTCCATCATCGGTTGCGGACAAAATCTCAAACGCTCGGCAGTACGATTCGAAACTCGGAGCGATGGGGGTAATCCGAAAACGAAGTTGGGATGTCGAAGCTGGGGTTAACATGTCAAAGTCAAGAGGTGTAAAAAGGGAACATTCCTCTTAACTTAAGTATAGAGAGAAAGCAGAATTGCGGCACAACATATGAACGGCTTGACTATGCTCTAATAATTGCGTGGTTATAGTGTGAGGGGCTGGAAAACCCATCACCAGTGCGAAATTGAGTCACAGGTCAAAGCAGGGCAGGGGAAAGGTCAGATATCAGACAGTTTTCTGAGGACTGGCCTAATGAAGAGTGAAAACTTTTTTTGTTTCAGCGGCTGACTACATATTTTTATAACTTATTGAAACTTAAAGACTATGAAATGTAGCTTTCGACTGACGTGCGAAGAGTAAGTGCTCTGACAAGCTTTTGATCCCTCAGAGGGTTAACCAGGATTCCTGAACTGCCAAATGCATGTCACAGTGTTTCATATTCATGCGCACATCCATAACTGGAAAGCCAATATGTTGAGATAGGCCCAACGGCTACAGCACAGGATTACGGGCTAAAAGTTGTCTTGGTTATCGATCTCATGCAGATTTTGTATTATTACGCTGTCGTATCTTTATCATTTAACTATTTCTTCCAATTAAAGCAAACAATTTCATAACAACAAATAATTTTTACAACAATTATTTAAAAAAAAAAATCTAGGGTTACGCGTTAGGGTTAGGCGTCACAATGCCCATCAAAACAGGAGTTTCAGGCCGCGATTTGTATCAACCAATGGAATTTGGGAGGTATGCAGAATGCAGAAAGTGTTGCTGAAAGATGCTGTACGCATGCATTCTGCATTTGGCCTACAAAGGTCTTCTCGCCGACTTAAATGTTACGTTCATAACCGTAGCAACAGACTTCAGATGAGCCCAGTCGCTCTGCGGCTCTAGTTATGGTACATCATCGTAGAGTGTTTATGAAAAGTTATAGCAGCTTCGTCGAATAATAGGCGAGCTAGTAAATAACTACGATTTGGAAGCACCTTATCTGCTGTCATAAATCACGTGTGTCACAGGCTCACAGCATGATAAAGGTAAAAGCTGTGCCTAGCCAGAGGTGGGGAATGAGAGCTACCTGCCCAGGTTATGTTACAGAATTCAATGTCGTGTGTGTGCGTATACAAATTTACACGTGCATATATCTGAATTAAACATGGAAATTTCTCAGTTCAGGTAGCTGGTAATTTATTGCCTGGTACTGTCCATAATTGTTCTGTTGCAATATGCATTTACTCCCATGACTTCACATCCCTAAAAAAGGTTGCTGACACAACTGTGGCTTAAAAGGCACCAATAGTTACTGATATAATACCATGAACATATATACAGGAGTATATAATAGAAGATAGTTCTACTATTATATACTCCTGATATATATATACTCATGATCATTAGAATATATATGTTCATGGTAACACTATGAAACAATTCTTTATCTACAGTAGAGAAACCATTTCACGTTTCTTAGCTTCTGCTGTAAATAAGTTGAAAATTAGATGAGTCATGAGTCATAGTAGGCTGTTGTAGTACAATGGTGTGTTCTGCACTGCGTCATTACAGATTTGCATGTATTTTTTATTCTACAGGTGACCTGCTCCATAGTATGGGTTCTAGCTTTAATTTCGTCACCCTCACGGGTTCAGAACGTGCTCACAAAACGGGGAATACCGACGAACGACTTAAAGGTAGGCAATGGCAGTTGTCACAAGATTATTATTATTATCAGTGATGATACACACTTAGAAGCCAGACCATGCACAACAGCTTCCCATGTGCAAAAGTGGAAAACCTTGGAAACCTGGAAACATCAGCTTACCTGTAAGCCTCAGTACGGACTTTGATTGGATAGAATGTTCGTGAAGTTCATTGCATCTCACTTCCCGATTAGGATTTAAATGTGCGTTCTTAATGACACTATATAATATGCATCCAATTTTGTCACTTGCGCATGTAGAACTAAGGCAGTGTCGTGTTTGTATGTACAGCCTTGTCAGTGGTAAAGGTCAATGTATGATACATAAAGATAAAAGGTAGCAACGTATAGATGTTATCACCAGATCTACGTGTTTACCAGGACAGAGGATCTTGGCAAATTTCCAACAGCTGCCATATTATCAGGAGTGAATAACAGGAGTGGATAATAATAGATCTATTATTATTCACTCCCGATATTATGTATGCACGAACAAGACACTGGGTCCGTTTTAATAATAAAACGATGACAAATAAACTAAATAAAAAAGGAATTCTCTAACTTTCTATGTGTTTGTGCATAGTGGCGTGCATGCGGTGAGACTGTGTGTTGCACAGGAGCATTTTACTGGCATCTGTGTGGAATTATTAGTCAATAGAGAACACATTAACTTATTAAGACTTTGGTAGTAAATACAATTGTGGTTATTTACACTCATTTTTATTATTGAAATGGCTCACATGTAATACTCAAAAGTGGACGGATGAACTGGATCTCAAAAGGTAACAATTGGTATCACTTTTTCAGCTTTCAGCTCTATTTTTAGTTCCTCTCACAAAGCACTTGAGCCGTCTCAATAATAAAATGATAGCAAATAAACATGAATCGTACTTACTGCCGAAGTCTCACCGTTTATCTTCTCTCTATTTATTTGCAATAATTTCCCGTCTCACCATCTCACCACACGAAGGCCACTGTGCACAAACTCACGGAAAAGCAATATATACGAAGTTTTGTGAAGAAGTTACAGCCTGTTAGTGGATATGCTTGTGCACAACAGAAAAAAACTGCAAGATTTGCATCACTCTTGAAACGAATTTTAGGCAATGTGTTTTATTTACAACAAGCGCTCAACTATCTCGAGCAGGGAGATCCAAACTGCTGTCCGTCTCATCCTCCCCGGCGAGTTGGCTAAGCACGCAGTATCTGAGGGCACCAAGGCTGTCACAAAGTACACCAGCTCCAAGTAGAGTCAACCGCCGTACCAGTAAACGAACCGGCCCTTTTCAGGGCCACCATTTCTTCCCAGAAATGATTACTACATTTGCAAACCTGCTTCCAGCATCAATGCTATAACGACATTAAAACCGATGCCACCAACCATGCAGTGGCTGCGTCTTTACCTGCATCTATTATTGCATTTAACCTTACGCTACGGCTGTTAGTTCTGAGATCGCTTTAAGTTTAATCCATTAAAATTGGGAATTATAATCAAATGGTTCTCGACATTCAAACTGAGCAAGAATTTGATATTTCGTATATCTCTCACCGCACTTATTCCACATGTCCTCACTGTTGGATGTATCACTACGCTATTAAGATCATTTGCATCTTAAGAGAGAACGCAACTCTATAATATTTACATCACACTGAGTAATACAATTGTTGACATTTCTCTTATATTTAGTATTACATAGTAGCACTGTCTCGCCAAAAGCAGCTGTATTAAATAATATTTTGCATTCTATACATTGCCGATTGCACATACAAAGCATATGAACCAGTATAGTGACTGAGAATTATGCTATGCTTTTAAAATTTGTCAAGAAATTCATAGCCTAGAAACAATTGTTGGTTGCTTATATGTTTAGTCGAGCCCATCAATTTAATAGAAATTAATAAAAACGGTAGTTATCCTTTTACATCTAAATTTCCGCACACGGTTCCTATGCTGTGTGCTATTGGCGCATGTTTGTGCTTAAATTTTACTGTTTAGAACAGGGCAATTAAGCTAATTCCTACATTATAGATGCGACTATAGTGGCACTATGAAATAAAATACTTATACCACATACCTACAGTACTGATATACCGTTAGCTGCAAGGGTCACACGGTAGCGGCCTAAGACTGCGTATTCTATATTATATATATATCGCGTTAAAATGTATTGGGGCGTCGTATTAGATTGAGACGGCGGGAAAACGGTTTCTTGTATCCACAAGCACTTGAGCCGTTTCATTATTAAAATGATAGCAAATAAACATGAATCGTACTTACTGCCGAAGTCTCACTGTTTATCTTCTCTCTATTTATTTGCAATAATTTCCCGTCTCACCATCTCACCACACGAAGGCCACTGTGCACAAACTCACGGAAAAGCAATATATACGAAGTTTTGTGAAGAAGTTACAGCCTGTTAGTGGATATGCTTGTGCACAACAGAAAAAAACTGCAAGATTTGCATCACTCTTGAAACGAATTTTAGGCAATGTGTTTTATTTACATTATTGCACCGAGTACGTCAAACCATTCTTCAATTCTCGCTTCTAATTAGTAACTGCATCTCGCCAAAACAGCTGATGTGTTAGTGTTACGATTAGGAGTAATGTCGTAGTTAAGAACCAAAATATAGATGAGTGTGCTTGACATAATTTTCTGTCTATATATCCCTGGTAACTTTATTCTTAAATTTAAAACTCATTTGCCAATTATCTAAATAAATAAAATAAATATACGATGAAGAAGAAATTTGGGAGAAAATTCTCAAAGGTGTTCCTGGAGAGCTGAGTTGTCCCTTCGTACTGCTTACGATGTGACTGTCGCTTCTCGCATGTTTATGATTAGTTTTAACAGGTTTCTTACGATATGGCGCAGCTAAATCAAGCTAGAGACGAATAAGTTATTCATGAACGCGGCCGTCAATAAGTGCAATTTAATGAAATGGAATGAAATGTACTTCTAATGTTTTTTCTTACTGACTAAATGGTTTTTCTAAAATAGCTTGGATAGCACGTGCTACCGGTAGCCTACACGGTAGCCGCCCAACAGATGGCGATGGCTGATAAGTTGATAACCCACGATACGGCGGGTATGAGCAACGGGCAGTGCAGTGGAAAGGGCGGGAAAACTTGCGTGTAACATAGATCAAATAGCAATTAATGTGCCCACGCTTTCAGTCTCATAGGCAAAACAACCCGACCGTTTAGAGCCACCATCTCTTCCATGAAATGACTTCTGCTATGCATAACTGCCGTGTTATTGGGGCATCTAATGCGCGATTAAAGGTGAGGCAAGACACATCACCTATGGGCTACGGCGCTTCTATGACACGCAGTGTTGATAAAACAAACCAAGACTGCACCTGGCAGTAGTGCGTCTATTGTATATGCTACAGATTATAACAAACTATTAATGTGGTGGCTGGTGGCGTGCCTAATGCGTTGGCAACTGATATAACAAACAGAATGTGAGAAGCGATACCGCCTGTTGTGTTGACTACCCACATAACAAGAAAAATAAGCATTGAGCTTTGTGTGCGTAATGGGAAGGTTAATACCAATTTGGCCAAAACTTTTATAATAACTACGTAATGCAAACCTGACTTTATTACTTCGCAACAATTTTTCAACCACGTATACGCTACCCACATATATGCACTTAACATGTAGGCAGCAAAGTAGGCACGTAACAGACTTATGCAGAATCGCCATATAGCATATCCATTATCTGATATAACCTGTTAATCTTATATGTCCTGCAAATTGTTACTGTAAACATACACCGCTTTAACGTAGAGGGTTATTGAACGAAAAATGTCTTGCCTGATCGTGGATAATAATTTGCTGAGCTTTACTAAAAGATGTGTCCTAATAGGTATACTCCGTTGACACATCGATCTGCGATGTGTTAACACACCACCGCAAAAATGTGGGCATCCAATTTTTCAGTTAGAGTTAGTGATGCACTTTTGCGAGTGATACGGCGAATGTAACAATTCTAGCTTTATCATTAGTAATTAACATAATACCCGCCAATATCAACACAAATCTTGTACGCATACACACAATGTATTTCATCCGCATTGTTATCGTTCGTGTCTGTAAAAATTACGATGATTGGTATATTAAAAAATCATATCAAAAACCATGAAGGCAACCGGTCATGGGCAGTTGAAGAGTGATGATATACATTTCTCACATCGATCGAACACCCGTAAACGGGAGTCACGGGATTTATAATTGATGCGTCATCGCTTAGATTCACTCGTGTATAAGAATACAATATAATACGGCAGTTAATATATATAGCAACGTAGAGATCATTTCTGGGAAGAAATGTGGTTGGCCTGAAGGGCCGTATATTGTGTTATCAGATGTATATAATTCAGTATCGCTGATTAGCCGCAAAGCCGTACAGTGTACGTCCCCTGGACGTTGAGAAGGACGTAGACAACGTCCATGGCGGTTATGCGTCTTCTCTCTTGGCGTGTCTCGGTGTAGCTGACGGCATACGGATGACGTTCTCGAGGAACACTTTCAGGACGCCACGGGTCTCTTCGTAGATGAGGCCAGAGATACGCTTCACACCACCTCGGCGAGCAAGACGACGGATAGCAGGCTTGGTGATTCCCTGGATGTTGTCACGCAACACCTTGCGATGACGCTTGGCGCCACCCTTTCCGAGTCCCTTTCCTCCCTTTCCTCTTCCAGACATGATAGTAGCTTTAAGGTTCTCTAACGTCTTACTAACGAATGATGTGCACACCTGCAATACACGGCTATTTATACCCAGCTCGCAGCCGCTATAGCGGTACCGCCTTAGCTGTCATTGTCAGTAAATCAGTGAACCGCTAAGGTTGGGTACACAGTCTGATCATCTATGATTGCTGCAAGTCACCGTTTTCCCGCCATTTCCACCCGACATAACGTCCACTACATTTTATTGTACTGATATAGATGACCATAGCGATTAGATTGCCGGCGGCAATTTTTAATCTTATTATGTTAAATAAGTATTTTAGCAAATTATAATACTGTTCTTACAGGTTCATTTTAACATATTACAAGAAGATTAACAGTTTCGAATTGTGAAACAAATATTTCTATAATATTTGGTTGCTTTTGTTTGAAACTAATTTTTTGTCTTCAGAAATAAAGATTTTTGCTAAACAAATTACGATATAAGAATTACAATATAACTCGCATACATGATATGGGGCCATTGGCACTATATGGAGGTATCGAAAGAAGTATATAGATACTAGTATAGATAGTATATAGATATAGATATAGATATAGATATAGATAGTAGAATGATGTAGATATAGATAGTATCAGGAGTTAATAAAGACAAATTTGTCTTTATTAACTNCAGTAACAAGTTGCAACGACATAATAGATTAACAGGTTCATAACGATAATGGATGTGCTATATGGCGAATTCTGGCATAAGTCTGTTATAAACGTGGCCTACCTTGCTGGCCTACATGTTAAAGTGCACTACGTGGTTAAATTGTTGGCGAAGTAATAAAGTCAGGTTTGCATACGTTAGTTATTAATAAACGTTTTAGGCCAAATTGGTATTAACCTTCCAATTACGCAACAAAGCTCAACAGGCTTATTTATTCTTAGTTATGTGGGAGTTTTCTAACCACAAGACAGGGTCGGTATCGCTTTCTGCACATTCTGTTTGTTATATCAGTTTCCAATGCAACGCAATTAGCTATCGCCACCAGCCACCCACATTAATAGTTTGATTATATCTGTACATAGTAGCAATTGACCACTAAATGACCAGGTGGGCAGTCGTTTGGGTTTGGTTTGCATCAAGCACTACGTGTCATAGAAGCGCAGTAGCCCAAGGATGATGTGTCCAGCTCAAAATCTTTAATCGTCTATTAGATGCTCCTATAACACGGTACAGTTATGCATAGCAGAAGTCATTTCATGGGAAGAGAATGGTGTGCTCTAAAGCGGCCGGTTTGTTTTGCCTATGAGACGGAAAAGCGTGGGCAGCATAATGCTATTTGATCTAGGTTAACACGCAAAGTTTTCCGCCCTTTCCGCTGGCACTGCAGCGTTGGCTCATAACCCGCCGTACGGGGTTATCAGACAATCGCGCATCTGTTGGGCGGCCTTACCGGTGTAGGCGACGCAAGTAGCACGTGCTACCCAAGCTATTTTAGAAAAACCAAAGTACATTTCATGCCATTTCATTAAATTGCGCTTATTGACAGCCGCGTTCAGGAATGACGTATTCGTCTATAGCTTGATTTAGCTGAGCCATATCGTAAGAAACCTGTTAAAACTAATCCTAAACATGCGAGAAGGGACAGTCACATCGTAAGCAGTACGATGGGACAACTCAGCTCTCCAGGAACACCTTTGAACATTTTCTCCCAAATTTATGACTACGGCTGTTAGTTCTGAGATCGCCTTAATCCATTAAAATTGGGGTTTATAATCAAATGGTTCTCGTCATTCAAACTGAGCAAGAATTTGGTATTTCGTATATCTCTCACCGCACTTATTCCCCATGTCCTTCTCTCTGTCGGATATATTACTACGATTTTAAGATCATTTGCATCTTAAGAGAGAACGAAACTCTATAATAAATACATCACACTGAGTAATACCATTGTTGACATTTCTCTTATATTTAGTATTACACAGTAGCACTGTCTCGCCAAAAACAGCTGTATTAAATGATATTTTGCATTCTATACATTGACGATTGCACATGTAACGCATATAAACCAGTATATTCACTGAGAATTATGCTATGCTTTTAAAATTTGTGAAGAAATTCATAGCCTAGAAACAATTGTTGGTTGCTTATATGTTAAGTCGAGCCCATCAATTTAATAGAAATTAATAAAAACGGTAGTTATCCTTTTACATCTAAATTTTCGCACGCGGTTTCTATGCTGTGTGCTATTGGTGCATGTTTGTGCTTAAATTCTACTGTTTGGAACAGGGCAATTAAGCTAATTCCAGACAAGTCACTGCCTACATTATAGATGCAACTATAGTGGCACTATAAAATAAAATACTTATACTACATACCAACAGTACTGATATACCGTTAGCTGCAAGGGTCACACGGTAGCGGCCTAAGAGACTGCGTATTCTATATTATATATACATCGCGTTAAAAT